ACTGCCGAAACAGAACGGCTCCCTTCTCCATCCGAGGCTGGACACCCTTCACCTGACAGCCTGGATGATAGATGGTTCAGCACATCCGAGATACTTTGCTCAGACCAGGTAAAGCGCATCTTGCTCTATAGCAGGGAAGAATCGACTAGAAAGACCTATCTCTCTAAATGGTCGAGATTCACCCGCTGGTGCGCTCCTAAGGACCTCGACCCCTTTATTTCACCACTGAATGTCATATTGGATTATATTCTCCAGCTGCAGATGAATGGTCTATCCATATCATCGCTTAGAGTTCATGCGGCGGCAATTGCGGCCTTCCATCGGCCCATCGAAGGGAAGTCAGACTTTTCCCACCCTATGGTGGCAAGATTCTTTAAAGGCCTCATTAACCTCAATCCACCAGTTAGGCCCCCGCCACCTGCGTGGAGTCTTGACTTGGTCCTAGATGTTCTAACAAGAACCCCGTTTGAACCTCTAGCAACCGCTCCGTTGCCAGACCTCACAATGAAAGTACTTTTTCTCCTTGCTATAACATCGGCACGTAGGGTGAGTGAGCTCGCAGCACTGATGTCATCACCCCCATATACAGTTTTTTCTAAGGATGCTGTAACATTGAGATCACACCCAGCTTTTTTACCGAAGGTCTGTACTGAGTTTCATATCAATGAACCGATAGTTCTGCCATGCTTTTACCCAAAACCTCACACGTCAAGACAGGACGCTCTCTTGCACACGCTGGACGTCCGTAGGGCACTAGCTTTCTACATAGATAGAACCCGTGGTTTTAGGAAAACGGACCGTCTGATTGTTTCCACACTTGAAGGGTCAAGCCCTATCTGCTCAACGTATCTCGAAGATCATCGTCTCTTGTATTACTACTTGCTACAGCAGGTCTAAGAAACCGCTTTTATCACAGCCTAGAGCCCATTCTACGCGAGCAATGGCTACGTCAACGGCCTTTGTCAGAGGAGTCCCATTACGCGACATATGTCGTGCTGCTACATGGTCTTCCAACACGACTTTCTCAAAGCATTACGCAATAGTGCAGCGCTTGGCTTCTGATTCGGCACTAGCCTCAGCAGTGCTGCCAAACCACAACACTAGTGATTCCGTAGCCCACGTTTAGTGGGTTACTGCTCCGGAGTCACCAGACGTGGAGCACCCTGTTCAAAGGCGCGAAGACTGCTCGCGCATGTGCGACCTGATCGATCACAGCTATGGCAAGCTCCAATTCGCGGCGCCGGGACCAGCCCGACACCAGACGTGGAGCACCCACGGGGACACACCTCGAAGAACCATTGTTACTGCACCGAAGGTGAGTAACCTCTTCATCATAGAACTGGAAGAATCCCCAGAAGGTCATCAAGTCCAGCTAGCGGGGAGGAGGGCGGGTCGTGGAGCACCCACGGGGACACACCTCGAAGAACCATCGTTACTGCACCGAAGGTGAGTAACCTCTTCATCATAGAACTGGAAGAATCCCCAGAAGGTCATCAAGTCCAGCCCCCCGCTCTAGGCAGGACCAATCCCATCTAAAACAACCCAGCCAGGCTATGTCAAGCCGAGACGTAGGGTTAGGGTTTCCTGTAAACTGCACTTACTTGTCTAGTTTTGGTGTTGACAGGAGAGCATTTGATGGTTGATTTATCACATCTATACCAGACACGATAAATCAATCCCTGCTGGATCGATCACTGCACCTTGATCCAGCCTGTAGTGAAGACATGCCCTTATTTAGGAACATAAATGTGGATTCAGGTGCCTGACCTTAGGTACCCAAGGTTGGAGATTTTGACTTATGATCCTGAATTACATTGGTAGTATGGCTACATTCTGTTGATATCACATGCAACGTCAGAATCGAGCATGTGCGGGAAATGGCCATGAAGTCTTATTGTCATGTGGTCACCTATCTTGGCTAAGGGACTGTTCTGAGACCTCTACAACTCACTTCACAGAGACAACAGAATAGCCTTCAAATGAGAATATCTTTCTGCAGCTACTCTCTGTATCTATTCCTGAATACTCCTGAGCAATCCAGCCCCACTATTTAGTCTAGAAACATTGTCCTAGAAATTAAAGGTTCTTTTAACTCTGTGATATCCTATCCGTACATTTTCCATTTCTGATAATAAGCACATTTTAGCAGGGCTTTTCAAACAGTTATCTTCTTATTCCCCAGATAAGGATGCAATTTATGGCAAATCAAAAAACATGGCTCTTTTTCTGGCCTGACAAACATGGGAAGAAAGAGGCTACGTGTAGACTGCAGGCTTCTTTCAGAAGAAGCTTTTCTAGAAGAGATCTTCCAAAAAAACTACTTCTGAAAGAGAGCATCCACATTGCCAAAGCGCATTGAAAAAGCCATCTGCTTTTTTGAAAGATAGCATCCACACTGATGCTACCAGGGCACCTGTGCTTTTTTCTCTTTCCTCTTTTTTCAAAAGAACTCCTTCTTCCCCATCCACACAAGCCTTTTTTTGAAAGAGCTCTTTTGGAAAAAGGCTTCTTCCTCATGGAATTAGGATTGCCAATGCTGGAAAAACCCCTCTGGTCTTTTGATTTTCTTTTGAAAGAAAGTGATTGCAATGTGGATGTATTTGAAGGTTTTTTTGGGGGGGAACAGCCGTTTTTCCGAAAAAACTCTGTAGTGTAGACATACCCAAACTGAGCAAAGGAAGCTTACAATATATTCCAGATAATTCAGGTGACAGGTGTATCCTCCTTCTGCTTCCAATCATGATCTGAATAAAAATGTCAGTATGTGGTACACCTTCTCAGTGTCACAGTCCTTTCCCAGCGGCCGCTGGCCACCGCTTGCTCCCCCACTGGGGCCCAGCTGAGCCCGCGCTGCACTGCTCAGCTGGGCCCCACAGGGAGGGGAAGGGGGGCAGTGCTACACCCCTCAGCTGAGCCGCTGTGGGGGAGAGGAAAGGGGGGCAGTGACATACACAGCCCCGCCCCCTGGCCATGTATGTCACTGCCCCGCCCCCTTTCACCTTCCACAGTGGCGCTCTGCTGACTTCTGCGCTGCTCAGCCAGGCCGCCACGGGGGAGCACATGGCGCAAGCGACCGTTTGGACTCCGCGGTCCCCCAAGTAAGAGGCAGGAGGCGGTGGAGAAGAGAAAAAGAGAGACAGAGAGAGAGAGGCAGTAGGAGGAGGAGAGCTGAGAGAGACGGAGCGAGAGACCGGAGGCTCAGGAGAGAAGACCGACGGAGGAGAGACCTGAAAATCCCGTCTTATGACGGGCTAATTGGCTAGTGAGATAAGAAAAGCCAAAAAAGAATAAAGAATTTGTGGGGTCAAAAGGTTGCAGTTCTTGTGTATGACCACAGTATGTCACCCTTATTCCTCACCTTTTCCCCCCATTCCATCTGGCCTTTTATGCTGCACAGTGCCATGCTGTGGCTTAGGGTGGTTACAAAGAATCATAGAGCTGGAAGAGACCTTAGAAGGCCATCAAGTTCAGCCCCCTGCCCAAGGCAGAACCAATCCCAATTAAATCAGCCCAGCCAGGGCTTTGTCAAGCGGAAACTAGTTTAACCTGGACGTCTCCCACCACAACTTGAGAGCATTTTTCCTTGTTCTGCCATCCATCACTACCGTGAACAGCCTTTCTCCAGCCTCTTTGGAACCTCCCTTCAGGAAGTTGAAGGCTGCTATCAAATCCCCCCTCACGCTTCTCTTCTGCATATTAAATAGACCCAACTCCCTCAGCCTCTCCTCAGTCATATGCTCCAGCCCCCTAATCATTTTGGTTGCCCTCTGCTGGACCTTCTCCAATGCATCCACATCCTTCCTGTAATTGGGGGCCCAGAACTGGACACAATACTCCCGATGTGGCCTCACCAGAGCCGAATAAAGAGGAATAATCACATCTCTGGATCGGCTGGAAATGCTCCTCTTAGCATTCTTGACTACAAGGATACACTGTTGACTCATGTCCAGCTTCTCATCCACTGTAATCCCCAGATCCTTTTTTACAGAACTGCTACTTAGCCAGTGGTCCCCAGCCTGTAATAATGCTTAGGAGTCTTCTCTCCCACGTGCAGGACTCTATCCTTGTCCTTGTTGAACCTCATCAGATTTCTTGTGGCCCAGTCCTCCAATTTGTCTAAGTCACTCTGGACTCTATACCTGCCCTCCAGCGTATCTACCTCTCCCCCTAGCTTAGTGCCATCTGCAAACTTGCTGAGGGTGCAATCCATCCCCTCATCCAGGTTATTAATAAAGATGTTGAACAAAACCGGTCCCAGAACTGAACCTTGGGGCACTCCGCTAGAAACCGACCACCATCCTGACATCGAGCCGTTGATCACTACCCACTGGGCCCGACCTTCCAGCCAGCTTTCTATCCATCTTATCGTCCATTTATCCAATCCACATTTCCTTAACTTGCTGGCAAGAATATTGTGGGAGATCGTATCAAAAGCCTAGCTAAAGTCAAGGGATAGCACATCCACTGACTTCCCCCAAAAATAATTTTGTTTGGGATAGCGATCTTAAAAGAATGATTCTGGACAAATGGCTACCCTAATCTAGCTACTGATGTTACTATTACCTGCTCCAACCACCAGATGTGAATCTTTCGTGACTTATCACCTCGCACTTCTCTGAGGGAAAAGGAAAGTTGGCTTTGTACATTTTCTGGTCGGTCTCATGTAGGTTCTGGAACCTGGAGAGCATTGTCCCTGATAGTTTTAACTTGCTGTGTTTAATTTTTCTCTTCCAGGGGCTCCACCATTTCCTGAGGTGCCACCTTCTGATATCCTACAACACCTTCAGAAACGGAAGATCATGAAGAGGCCCTCAACCTGCCAACCAGCTATGTAAGAGGCTTCCTCTTGTTCTAGTGGTTCCCAACTCTGTTCCCAGCTCAGATCTTTACAGAGAAACTTACCATATATGGAATTTGTTGCCTCACTCCACGCCTCCCCCCTCCATACCTCCATTACACATAATCTGAAGTAATCCCTTACTTCTGTGCCGGTATTGGTGACAGTACTGCTTTTAGAGTTGGATGCTAGAGAGTGGCAACTGCTGGCCAGGGCATTCATGTTGTTTGTGACATGGGAGAACTATTTTATTCATTCTGCTCCAACTCCACAATACCCATTCTGCTCCCACTATTAAGGCAGCATGTTCTGTGGGATGCTAGTTTCTATGTGCTCCTTCCAGAGAACCTCTTCTTCTCAGTGGGTGATACCCTCCTCCTCACCCATAGTTTGTACACCACTCTTCCAGCATTTACACCTACTCTTAGATCTCTCACTCTCCTCACTACTGCTTACTGAGGGTTTTCTTCTTTTTTTTCAGTCTCAGTCTATATCTGTAATTTAGTATACACCCCTGAGAACTTTGCTACCAAGAAGATGCTGATAGCCTGGAGCTGAAAGATTTAAATAGAGAGCTTGTGAACTATTAGGAAAGGTGTATATATAAAACAGAAAATATAATTCTACTATATACATTCTTGGTATGTTCACATCATATGTTCTGTGTACAATTCTGGTCATCTCTACTTCTCAGAAAAGCTGTATTATTAGAACTGGGAAAAGTACAGAAAAAGACCACAGAAATGCTTGGGGATCTGGGACGGCTTCCATATGAGGAGAGATTAAAAACCCTGGGACAGTTCAGTTTGGAAAACAATGGCTGGGAGGAATGTCATAGAGGTATAAAATCATGAGTGGTGTGGAGTAGGCCAATAAAGAAGTGTTATTTACATCTTCATAAAACACAGGAACCAGGGGTCACCCAATGAAATCAATAGGCAGAACAGGCACAGTGAAGTATTTCCTCTTACAATTAACAGTCAACCTGTGGAGCTCATTGCCAGGGGATGTTGTGAAAGTCAAAAATATAATTGGATTAAACAATTAGACAAATTCATGGAGGACAGTTCCATCCATAGCTATTAGTCAGGATGGGTAGAGACAGGCTTCCTAACATGGGGGACAAAGGGGCAACTGCTCCAGGGCTTAGTGATTCAAAGGGGCATGAGGCTCCAGCTGCTACTGCTGTGGCAGCAGCATTGTCTGGAGCCCTGAGTCCTTTACATGGTGGCTGAGGTGCCATGTGACATGGTCCAAGCAGCTCTTAGAGCTGCTTGGGAGGGGTAGGTGGTATGTGGCACTCTCCAGGGAACACTGGGGGAAGCATTGCAGTTTGGGTGGCACTAGGTGTTCACACCTTCACATCAGCTGCTAGAAGTGGGCCTCATCCTCTCTGACTGAATTGACCTTGTTAGCTCTAGCCTTACTCTTGGTTGGTACTCTTTTCATGTCTCTGTATATTTATACCTCTGGGCTGTGTCTAGACTGGCAAGTTTTTCCGCAAAAGCAGTTGCTTTTGCAGAAAAACTTGTCAGCTGTCTACACTGGCTGCTTGAATTTCCTCAAGAACACTGACGATCTCATGTAAGAAATCAGTGCTTCTTGCGGAAATGCTATGCTGCTCCCATTCGGGCAAAAGTCTTTTGTTTTGCGCAAAAAAGCCCCGATGGCGAAAATGGCGATCGGGGCTTTTTTGCGCAAAAGCATGTCTATATTGGCACGGACGCTTTTCCGCAAAAAGTGATTTTGCGGAAAAGCATCCGTGCCAATCTAGACACTCTTTTCCGCATATGCTTTTAATAGAAAACTATTCCGTTAAAAGCATTTGTGGAAAATCATGCCAGTCTAGACGTAGCCCTGGAATTTCAACTACATGTGTAAGCAGGGGAATGGTCCCACTATTGTGGGGAACTTTCCTGGCTTCTATACCACCCCGGTGAAATGGACCAACGAAAGGATCTGAGTCCCCACTCCCACTTCCTTTACCTAATGGCCTCTCTGATCCTGAGGGCTCCCCTTCCACTCTCCTGAGTAGCAGAGTCCTCAAAACCCCAACAAAGCTGGGCCCAGGTTTCCTGGGGCTTAATCCCCGACCTTGTAGTCACTTGGGGCAGGGGATAGGGTGTCCCCACTCCGGGGTGCTCTCTTCACACTGGATGCTTTCTTGGCCCAGTGATCATTTCATACAGTTCAAAGCAAATACAATTTATTAAACATCAACTGATTAAAGAGAAAAGAATAAGAAAAAATGAGAAAGGTTAAATGAGAACACGCAGTCCTTCTCTGTAGCACGGGGACATCACAAACAGCAGTCTGCAGAGTGTAAGGACAGTTCACAGTATGTTCCTTATAGGTCCCAGGGCTCTCTCAAACCCTGGCTGTGCTGCAGGGGGGCTGCAGGTTGGACACGCTTGCTCTGGCAGTGACCACACGGCCTCAGGCTCTAGGAGTATGTGTAGACTACATGGCTCTGTCGCCAGAGCCATGTAGATTAGTTTACTAGACATACCCAAATGAAGCAGCGATTTAAATAATCGCTGCTTCATTTAAATTAAAATGGCTGCCGAGCTGAGCCGATCAGCTGTTTGTCAGCTCAGCGTGCTAGTCTGGACGCTCCACGGTCGACATCAAAGGCATTTGTCAACCACCCCACTATGCCTCATGGGATGAGGTTTACCGGGGCGGTCGACAAATGCCTTTGATATTGACCACAGCGCGGCCAGACTAGGTGGCAGGACCCCTCTCCCAGTCTGGCCTGCAGGGCATCTTGGCTGGCGGTGTCTCCCTGCCCAGAGCCTCTCCTCCCACTTTGCTGGTCCCAGCTGCTCACCATACCCAGCTGCAGGCTGTGCTGCTTTGCCAGCCTCCAGCTCCTTGTGTTGTTCTCTGCCCCCTTTGGCTCTCTGGTCACTGCCAGTCTGCTGCTCAACACAGGGTCTGCGCTTCTTGGGCTGTGTGTGCCTGGCTCTGTTTCTGCAGGACTGCCCCTTAGCACAGCTTGCTCTTCTTAGCTCTCTCTCCTTGCTCAGAGAGACCCAGAAAATCCCAGCTCACACAGAGGACGGGACCTGGCCTCTTACTTTTCTCACTGGCCTGTCCAACCTGTCAATCAGGCCGAGCTGGAGTGTTGGCTGCTTTCCATTGTCTCTGGGGTCTGTCAGTCTCAGGGCCCTGATTTCTCATGGACCCTTCCCCTTTTGATACTGAGAGCTGGCGAACCAAAAACTCCCACAGAGTTTTAGTAAGAGGCTAAGTCCCCTTACACATGCATCTGATGAAGTGAATCTTTGCCCACGAAAGCTTATACTCCAATAAATCTGTTAGTCTTAAAGGTGCCACGGGACTTCTTGTTGTTTATAAAGGAAAATTGAGGCTAGATATGGTGGACTTAACATTGAGGGACAACGGGACAGATTTTTTAAAGAAGCTATGTGGGCGCCTAACTCCCACAAAGTCAATAGGAGGTAGGGGTCTAAATATCTTTAAAATTAGGCCCAAGGCCTATCAGACTGTAGGAAGGAAGGAAACTGAGGAAGCCAGTTACTTTGGACACTTAAAATAAGACTCAGAAAAAAAGCACGGAGAATTGACAAGGCAGCAGTCATTTATTGGCCATAGAGTTCTGGCAGGACAGAGAAGATGTGTTCTAACAGTACCTTTTAATCTCTTTGGAACTCTACTTTATGAAACTTTGCCCAAAAGTCTCTTTCCTTCTCCTGCAATCATTTCTTTTCACTTGCATCTTCCATCTGTCGTGCTGAGTTGTCATTTCATTTGTCTACCCCAATTTGAACCTGTTTCTTTTTTTAGTCTCAGAAATTAGAGGAAACATCCTAGCAGTGATCAGGTCTTTCAAATGGTACAGGAGTCTCTTTGGTAATAACTTGTCCCTTCAGTCCTGGAAACCCTCGATTTTTGAGGAATAAGGGATCGTGTGAAAGAGGTTTTTTTCCCGACAAATGGCCCCGTCTACACAAGGCTTTTTATCTGCAAAACCTCTTCTGCAAAAAGAATTGGAAGAAGATATGCAAATACGAGCATGATTTGCATATCCTCTTCTGCAAAAAAAACGCAGTGTAGCTGTAGCCTCAGTAAGGAAGGCCATGGTATGGCTTAAAAATCTTGACCTATCCTCCCCCACAGGGCCGGCCCACAACATTTTGGCACCTGAGGCGGGGAGCTGAAACGATGCCTCTATGCCCTCTCGCTTAGGCCAAAACTTTGCAAAGTCTCAATTCTGCCTTCTTCCTGTTCTACTCCACTCATAGTACTGCTCTGCTACCTACATATGCACCAACAGCAGACACAATTCTCTACACTCTGGGTCCTAGTGGTGCCCCCCCACATTCTGGCACCTGAGGTGGCTGCCTCAGTTTGCCTCGTGGTAGGGCCAGCCCTCCTCCCCCATCCCATTCCATTCTCCAAGATGAATTCTTACACTAGCAAGTGTGCAACTTTCAAAGAGCCCTTACATTAGCTGTGTACAGGCAGTCCCCGGGTTACGTACAAGATAGGGACTGTAGGTTTGTTCTTAAGTTGAATCAGTATGTAAGTCGGAACTGGCGTCCAGATTCAGCCGCTACTGAAACTGATCAGTTTCAACAGTGGCTGAATCTGGACACCAGTTCCCACTTACATACAAATTCAACTTAAGAACCCCATGTATCCCCAAGTCAGCTGCTGCTGAAACTGATCAGCAGCTGATTCCAGGAAGCCCGGGGCAGAGCAACTCTGCCTCGGGCTTCCTGTAGTC